CAGTCTCTGTAGTCTGTCTCATATCCAGAAACTCCCTGACCACTGCTGAAGCTCCACAGTTGGCGCAAACTCGGCCCTGAACCTGGCCATAAAATCTGACCAAGTCATAGCCTCAATGGCTGGGGCCCCCAACGAATCCCCGACTAACTCCCACCAATCTCTGGCTCTATCCCTCAAACAACCTGCAGCAAACGGACCTTCGACCCTTCAGGGCAGAAGCTCGTCAACTGCGCAGACTCGATGTCTGCGATCCATCTCCTGGCAGCAATGGGGTCCTTCACCCCATGAAAGTCCGGCGCACCACTCCCTCTAAAGTCCTTGAAGGACAGTGTGCGCGCACTCGACTGGTTGGACGCCGAGTCCCTCCTGAATGCCTGGAGGCGATCCTCCATCAACTCAATAATCCCTTCCTTGATCGACCTGAAGATGATTGGGGTCGACTCAAGGATGCCTCTTGTGATTTCAGACGCGATGAACTTGCGTAGCCCGTCATCAACCTGCTCGGATCCTGCACCCGAGCCTGATCCTGATCCGGATCCTGAACCTCCTGCTCCATGTCGTGTGGTCACCATGCTGAAAATAAGCACATAAACGTCAGGATCATACATACTCCCGAGAGGTCTCACACACTATCCAAGTTTCCTAGTTCCATCTCGGCCCTCCTTGACTCGAGTACGGATCCTCTGCTTCCAGTAGTACGGGCCCATACTACCTTCCACATCTATCCGTACTTTCCTCAAGGATTGCTTCAACTTCACCAAGTCCCTTTACCAATACCCCTTTCCACCAACCTCATCCTAGGCTTTCCTAGGGCACCCTCCGACCTACTCTCCGCCATCAGCTGCACTAGGAGTCCCTACCACCTTCCCCTAACTAGCTTGCGAATACTGTTACATATCCGTTCACTAATTAGTTAAAGTTAGCCAGGACCCCTATAGCACAAAGCAAGCAGCATTCGTGCGTTGAGTAACCACATCAAGCATAACCTAATCAGGCCATCCTACCGTTGACTAAACGGTCCTATCATACAGCTCATACAACAGGCATTCAAGGCACCCTTCCTAGATCCTTATCCCTATTCTAGCATGCAGTTCTCAGAATCATACATCATATAACATAACATAACAAGTATGGGTATCTTGGGGAAAACTTACTTGAGCTCGGCCGGTCGCACGCATCACACACCTTGTTCTTTCTCAAAATTCTTTAACTTAAATTTTAGAAAACTGTTTTCTTTGTGAAAAATATTTTAATTCCTCGGTTTGAGTCTAGACACCCACGAGGGTGTGTCCGAATCCCTCAAACCAAGGCTCTGATACCAACTTGTAACATCCCAAATTTAGGGGCCAAAAATTTCATTTTTAGTTAAGTAATTCATAAAACAATTCACCAAAACATTGTCAACATTACATCAACTTATAAAATCCATACTCTCGTGTCTCAAAACCATATCATCAGAAGTAATGAAAATCAGAGTACAATCCCAGAACTCAATGCGGAAACCATGTGTGTGTATGATGTGCTGCTACACCGCCGGCTCCTTCCCCTTTGACGAAGAGGTACCTAAAACCAAAACTAAAACTGTAAGCATGAAGCTTAGTGAGTTCCCCCATCATACTCATACCAAAATAATACATGACCCTCGGTATCTTTCAACCGGTAACTATCAAGCGTAACCGGGAGCTGGACTCCCCCTTGGTATTTTTCAACCGGTAACCGGGAACTACCCTCCCCTTCGGTATCTTTCAACCGTGAACTGGGAACTAACCTCCCCTTCGGTATCTCTCAACCGGTAACTGGGACTATTTCACCCCTCATACTGCTAATACATAATAAGCATAGTAAGCATATCAATCATAATCATATCAATCACAGTAAGCATATCAAATATCAATCCCAGACAATTATCACAAAGACAATCATCTAACCAATACTCTTACTTGTGGGACGGCATTGTGGCCGTAGAACCACCCCTATTAGGAGAAGACACACCTCAAAGTCGTGTAGTGTCCGAACTGTCCTCGGCGTGAAAACTGACTCTCCTCAACTCCTCAATCCCTACACGATAACCCCATCCAAGTTATCAACTTGTACTTGCAACCCTAACCAGGGTCAGCTCAAATCCGGTCAAAGTCAACTTTGGTCAAAGTCAACATCCAGTTGACTTGACTCGCCGAGTTGGTCTACCAACTCGTTGAGTCCATACTTCTCTAACCCAAACCAATCCCCGTCCCTACTCGTCGAGTCTAGCGAGAACTCGACAGGTTCTTCTTTAATCATACCATCGGGACCATCTTCATCCGACTCGCCGAGTTCGACCTTGAACTCGTCGAGTTCATCTCCCTCATAAGAATGTGTCAAGTCTATGACTCACCGAGTTGTATGAACAACTTGTCGAGTCCATCTTTAAAGATTTGAAGATTGCCTTGGACTCGCCGAGTTTGCTCAAACACTCGTCGAGTCCCATGATTCCCAGGCCCCTTATGAGCCTAAACAACTGAGGGACTTTCCGGCCTATCATCTGGTCCTTCAACAGAAAGGATCTGGTGGTCATTACACCCCGACTCGCCGAGTCCCAAGAACGGCTCGTCGAGTCCATCCTTGACCATTACTATACAGTCGATTTAAATGGGTCTTAACACACCAAAACCATAGAGTTTGCCTCCTAATGTCCATTTTACACGTAAAGTTCCAAACTTGGTGCACATACATGGGGTCTTTGGCTCAAAAAGCCATAAAAGGTGCTCTTCAAGATGCATGGGGCTCTCATGGCCATAGAGTTGGCACCTTTATGCCATGAGACCCCTCCAATGGCCCGGATCTGAAGTCAAAACTCCATATAACCTCTCAAAATCCGAAAATGGCTTAGAAAGCCCTAAATATACCCAAAATCCAAGCCCTAAAGGTGAATAAACACATGGAAGATCAAGACAGGAGCTTTTTACCTCAAATGAGTTGGAAATGGAACAAAATCTCTGAATCTCCAAGCTCCAACTTGAACTCCCAAGCTCCTTTCCTCTTCTCAAGCTTCAAAATCCACCAAAATGTACCAAAATGGCCTTAGAAAACTCAAACAAGGCTAGGGTTTCGATATGATGTCTTCTGGGAGTAAATGGGACGATGGAGGGTGAGATAAGTTGTTTAAATAGGGTGAAAACCCTCAAATTTAGGGTTTTATTCTAACAACACCTACTCGCCGAGTCGGTCTCCCGGCTCGTCGAGTAGGTCACTTAAACTCCCCGCGGATCACGACTGTACTCGACGAGTTGGGCCACCAACTCGTTGAGTCCCAGAGGAAAATACATGAAATTCTTGAATTAAAATACGTACCAGGAATCAGGTGTTACAGAGGCATCTTTCTCTAAAAGATACAAGGGGAAAGTGACGATAAGCCTCCTATACGATCATGAATCGAATAATTTCGAGCAAGATATATCTTAATCCTACAACGATAATAGAGACTTACAATGATAGATACTAACATAAACAAGGAATTGCAATTCTTTCATTTGTGAGGGTTAGTACTACTTATCTAGTGTTACAGAATCATAAAATACTCCTATAGTATTTTAACTATGTGTTTTCATTAGTATAGGATTTGGTGAGTTTTAGACTTATCGCACACCACAGTCACTCCCAAACACATGTTGGTCATATCTCGGACAAATATAGTTGATCAGGTTATATTGGCCCCACATATGACTACATAACTATCCAGGTTTAAACGTAATGTCCAACTCGCCCTAAATACTTTTATGTAGTTCTTACTATGTTATAGCTTTTTGTACGTATGTATACTTGTATACTTCTTGTAAAAATACTTGTATTTTTAAAGTATACTTTTAGTTTAAGAGCACTTCGGCCTCTTTTGTGTTTATAGTTGTATACCATGTAAGGTTCGGTATACTTAGTTCACTATAAACAATAGCTCTGATACCAATCTGTCACATCCCTAAACCGAAACGGCAGAAACGTTCGGGGGTGGAGGACGTCATGTATAGTATCACAACAATTGCATCATAGTAATCAAAGTAAACACAACCATCACATTGAATAAGTAAAATATTTACATTTGTTTGATTCATATTTATATACATCAAAAGTATAACAAAATATAAAAGAGGTGACTCTATATGCTCCGTCTTCTCAAAAGTCTGCCGAGGTACCTGCGTATTGATTTCCTGAGAATACAAGCAGTTTTAAAAGAGTATCAGCATTAAGCTGGTGAGTTCATAAGCATGTTTTTGTAAGGAAAATCCCTAGCTTAAGGAAAATCCCTAAGTGAATTAAGGTTTACAAGGTTAAACCTTAAGGATTCCAAACTATAAATATGATCCCTAGCTTGCTAAAATCGCCCCCCTATGAGTCTAAGAGAAATATAACCGATTTTATGTCTCCTTACTTTTCTCTCAAATTCCTCCTCTTGTTCTTGGTTTGTTATAAGACATTTGAGGCATCACACTTTAGGTGTTAGGCTCTTGAAAGACCAATTCCTACAAGCTACAACAAAGAGGTAATCTTCTAACTTACTTTTATGATTCATATGTCAAATTGTATGCTAGTTGTAGGCTTCATGCTTTGGAAATTGTTGTTGCATGTATAACTAGGGAAAACTTAGATCCAAAGCTATTGGGGTTGTATTTGCACCATAGGAGTGTTATAGTACCTAAAACCCAACATTTAAGGCTTATGGTTAGGTTATCGCTTAGGTCTTATGGCTCATGGCTTATGACTTATGAATCAGGGCTTAGGGATTAAAGATTAGGGCTTAAGGTTTATGGCTTATGGCTTAGGTATTAGGGTTTATGCTTAGGGATTAGGGCTGATGGCTTATGGATTAGGCCTTATTTCTTATGACTTAGTGGTTAAAGGCTTGTGGCTTAGGGCGTATGATTTATAGCTCATGGCTTAATGCTTAAGGCTCATGTCTTAGGGCTTATGTCCCACAACTTAATGATTAACACTTATGGACTAGAGTTTAAGGCTTAGGGTTTAGGATTATGGTGTATTCCCCATGGTTTATAACTCAAGGAATATGGCTTAAGGCTCATAGATTATGGCTTATAGCTCAAGGTTTAATGCTTAGTGTTCAGGACTTATGATGTAAGGCATTGGGCTTAGGAATAAGGCTTATGGCTTGTGGCCTATGGCTTGTGGATTAATGTATAAGTATTATAAGTTAGGGAGTAATGCTCAGGGATTAGGGTATATGGTTTATATCTTATGTATGAATGCTTAAGTATTATAACTTAGGGCTTAAAGCCCATTTCCACAAGCCCACACCGACGGCTACCCCACCCCACCTCTACACATCCACCCTACATCTACCTACATATCCGTTCAACTACCCCCCACCTATACCCATACCCCTTTATTTCCCTACATCCACACCCACACTCTTACGGCTACCCACCCTCATCCCATTTAACCTACACCACCCCACCCACTTATACATATAACTACCCCACACCCACCCCACCCCTAACCTTACACATATACCTACATGCTCACCCAACCCACCCCACATTTACCCACCCACTAAACCTCACCTCGATAACTACATCCATAACTATATGTACATTACCACAGACCCACACTGACGCCTACTCCAACCCACCTCTAACTAACCTCACACTTCCACACAACAAAACCTACCCCCACACCACCTGCCATTCTCCCCATACACATACACACATCCAAACCTATATATCCTCCATACCCTTACACCACGCAACCCATCCACCCACCCCTACACTCACATCCACACGTATAAGATTTGGAAACCACAAGACCGGTTTCTCAAAATCGCCTTTTGTGTCTTACACGAGTTGGAAATGAATTTACCGGTTTAAACACATATAAGATTTGGAAACCACGAGGCCCGCCATAAGAATTATTCAAAGGTTAGATTAAAATTTCATTATGGACCAAACTAAAGGGTACAAAACTGTAATTTTCTCATACAAATATGAATTAACTATATATATTAGTTAAAACACATATCTTCAAATTTTAGAATTCAAAACTTAAAAAAAATATAATTCAAAATGTTTTAAAAATTTTTATAATCATTTTTTCCAAAAAGTTTGAAAAAACCCGCTACTGTCTCCCACCCATTGATTTTTTTCATTTAATAAAAAATCAGCCCACGACGTCTCGACTGCTGGGCTTTCGCTCTCAACAGAGCCTCTTAAACCGTAACGCTAACCCTATCTCTTTCATTATCCGTTCGCTGTCTTCTTCTTTCAATCTAATTATACTTATGTTTGGTGAAGAAGGTTGAATTCATTATACAATTGTGTGTTTGGAGGGAAGGTGGCGCATGTAAGCGAATCGATATGTCAATCCCAAGTCTATCTATGCTCTGCAATTAGACAAAGTAGTAAGACCCCAGATCTATGAAGCAGTACGAGCACCACCATTCTAAATTTTAGTACATCGACTCTGCTTCCACTTTTTGCTTCTCATTTGGTGGAAATTCAATATGGCTAATTGATTTCGTTTTGGTTCTTCAGGTACGTATCTCTCCCTCCCTCACACAACCAACACCGGTAAATCTATATAGCTTCACACGCTTCCGAGGAGCCAACTTCTCATTCACGATCTCCCGTTTTCTACTTCAACATCACATGTATAAGCTCTTTTAGGTATGTTTCTCTCCTATCTCAGACAACCATCACCGGTAAATTGAAAACCCTAAATGTTCTGGTTATGGAATCTGCCAAATCAACCTCAAAGTCTATAGTTTTCTTCACATAAGTTTTTCCCCCTTTGTCGCAAAACCAACACTGGTAAATTTGGAGTCTGGAGGCTATGGATGATTTGGAGTATTTACTTAATGATTTTATGGTTTCATGACTGTTTGAGACAAACATTCCATATAACAGGTTTTTTCCATCAATCTTGATTCAAAAGTCTTTAAAAAAATTGTTTCTGATATGTTGCTGTGAGATTTTTAGGAATTAGGGAAGGAGGAACTTCCCCCTCTTGACTTGTGTTTCTGTAACTGATATAAAAAGGCTAAGTGCTTCAACTATAACATTTTAATTTGTGTATAGTTAAAGAAAAAAAGTATAGTTTTAATAAAATATGTTGTGTGTACAAACTCAAAACTTGGTGGGGAGGCTATTGATTTTATGTATACAATTGCAACGAGGAAAATTATGGAGTTTCTTGGTATGGACTAATGAAGGGTATGATGGTAAATTGTTGTTTTAGCCATTTCTTCAACAAATATTATCACATGTGGGTTGATCTGTTTCTTATCTCTAACTAAATTGCAGAAGTGAAGTGTCATTTATACAAATTTTGTGTTAAAATGTTGGTTCATTTTGTTGTGTTTTGAATTAAATTAAAACATGAAATGGTTTATCTTCTTACATCAAGATTCCTGGTAGCCTATTGGTTTTGATCCATGCTTGTGAATGCCAAATATGGGTGAGTTGTCTATTGTTTGTTGTATTGGAGTCCGTTATATGTTTTTGATAGTATGACAAATTGTTTTTGAGAGCTTGAAAGCATGGAATAGTTCAGTGAAAGCAATCAAATGTGAAATTAAAATAGACGATGTTCAAAAAGTTATGAATGATACAGGAGAAGCAAAAGTATACCAAAATGTGAGTTTTTATTCCATGTTTTTTTTATTAAACTAAATGTTTATACACTACAAACTATACTCATTCTTGATGATCTTTGGGAATTATACCGGGAATGGAGTTCATATGGAGTTGGAGTTCCACTTGTGTTGAATGAAAGAAACTATGTTGCTCAATACTATTAGCCCTTTATCTATTTGCCATTCAAGGTTTACATAGACTCATCAACACCTCTCATAACCTCAAGGTGATGGTTGCACGAAAGAGAGGTGAGAGAACACAAGTGTCACTATATGTATATGGTCACACTTTTTTGGTGTGACCATAGCCCATTTTTGTACTAGTGGCACTAAATGATAGAGTGTTCATTTGTTTCTGCAAAAGTTTTTATTTTAAATTAGGTTATTTTTCATTCCTAAGTAATAAATACTTCTTGTTTTATTTTATGGTATAAATCTTATTTGATTTTTTCTTATTTTTGTTTTTATATTATCGTACAAAAATAATTGGGAATTAATTTGAAAATTAATTATCCATTTGTAGCTATTTAGCTTTACAACGAAAATATTTCTTTAAAATTTTCCACAACAATCCGTTGGAGAATTTCCTACAACTATTTCTATGAAAATACTTCCATGGATTTTTCTAGGGAAATACGTCTATGGGTTATGCTATTGAAACGTGACAACGGATTTAGCTAGGGAGTCATCACCATAGATTTAGTTAGGGAGTCGTCACAACGGATTTAGCTAGGGAGTCGCCACAACGAATTTAGATAGGGAGTCATCACCACAGAGTTAGCTAGGGAGTCATCACAACCGATGTTGTTAGGGATTCATCACCATGGATTTTGCTAATGATTCATCACCACGGATTTTGTTAGAGATTCATCACCACAGATTGTGCTAAGGATCCACTACAACGGAATTTGTGATGGAAGAACTACCACGAAATTCGCAACGGAATCCTACTACGGAATACACAACGGAATACAATCTACAACGAATTTCATTCCATTGTCACATTTGCGACGAAATTAGTATTTCCGTTGCAACACCTTCGCTACGGGGTTTTTTGGGACAAAACTTTTCCGTTGCAAATTCCGTAGCTATTCGTCTTTTACAATGAAATTTCAGCTTTTTGCAACGGATTCATTCCCTAGTAAAATTGCGTTTCTCTTCTAGTGCAACATTTTCGTTCTAGACTAAACGGAAATGCACTATGTCTTTGGTATAGAGTATCCGGGTTCAATTTCGTTCCTAATCACTTTCTTGTTGCTTTGATTTTTAATGTGCTGATGTGGCAAGTTTTGGCAGCATGCCATGTTAGCAAATCAATCCACGTAGAGTACCTTGTCAATAAATACCACATAGGTATCTCATGACATACTAACCTGATAAAAGTGGAAAAGTAAAACGTCCACTCAAAAACAATGGCTTTTACATAACAAAAAAAGAAAAAAAATTGGGGCCAAATTATAATTGAATTGTAAATATAATGGTTTTTATGATATTAACCTTTTACATAAAAGTTTGAGATAAGTTACTTCATCGTTACAAAATAAACACACTTTCTCAAACACTTAAAAGTCCTTTATCATTTTATTACATATAACACACTTTCTCAAACACTTAAAAGTCCTTTATCATTTTATTACATTTTGGTACCGAATAAACAAAATCCATCTTTTTTTTAACTTTATTTTAACACCACATAAACTAATAAGTAACTTTTTTTAATAGATAAGTTGTTGGATATAAACAATCTTAGATGCTATCTAAAGCCTTTTAATGTAAAAAATGAATAGATTTTTTTTATGATAAAATTTACTATTGGCCATGTTTGATGTGTTAGCTAAAAAGCTAGTTTTTAACTTATAGGCTAACATATCATTAATCAATTTGAAAACTTTGAAAAATAAACCTTTGAAAATTGTTGACAGTGAAAACTTTTTTTTTATTGTTTTGTAATTAGTTCTTCGATTTAACTCCTCCCTTCACCTGCAAGTGATCCCTTCAATGGTATTTATAGAGTAAAATGTTTTTTGGTGAAAATATCAGGCCAACACCACCATTACAAATCTCTAGAACATCTCTGCTAATCACCTCTGACGAAATAATCTCTGAAGAACACCACCACAACAAAAGCCTAAAATAGATTAAAGACAAGGGTTGAAGGCGAAATCTTCGGTGAAGGGGCTCTCGTGGATTTTTTTGTGTGCATTGTCGGCGATCTTCATTGTCGTCTTCACCATAATCATCTTTTTGAATGGAATTAGGATGAATAACGATGAGACAGGGGAAGTCTTTTGGGTCGAAAAGGGGAAAAAGAGCACGATGCTGCTCAAAGACCTTCCCTACAAACCTTCATCTTAATCCTCAGTCATGAAAGTTTTTGATGTTCTTCATCCTCTTCAAGCCGCAAGGTCATGAAAGTAGGGTTCTGGCTCTTTAGGTTGTATTGGAAAGGGAGTATTTTTGCTTCCGTTTGTGAGGATGGATTTACATCGACATATAAAAGGTTTGGCACAGCAAAATGGGTTGCCGGCGAGGGAAGAAGAAGCATGTGAGCAGGGACATCACATTTACAGAGTTTTTAGATGAAGTCATATGGGGCAATTTTGTCAATTAACAATAATTAACAATAAAATTATGTGGATAAAAGCTATGCATATTGTCCATTACTAGTTAGAATTTTTTTTTGTATTGGTTCTTTGACAATTTTTTTAATTAGATTTTAGTGACCGGTTAACTTTAAACTTTTTATATTCTATTTTTATTGTTAAACAACTTTTATTCAAAATAATATAAGTTTATGTATTTTTTTATCATTACTGTCGATATCTATTATTTAATTTTTAAATTATTAAATTCTAGCACCAGACCATAAATATTTTATACTTAGGTGCATAATGTAAATCAATCTTTACCAAATTAATTAGTTGCCGGTGGATACAAATATTGTTATGTTACAAGACTAATATGAAAATAAGATATGTAAAATAAGATACATAAAAAAGATACTAGCATTTAATTATTATTAATAATTTATAATAAATATAAGTGATAAAGATATAAAAAAAATGTATAAAATGAAACGAAAAATAAAAAATATCAATAATAATGTTATAAAATTATATAAATTAAATAAAAAATATAATAAATGTTTATTACAAATTTTATTCAAGTTTGTTTTCAACAAGATATATATTTCATCATGTTATATCATTATATATACAATTAAAAGTATCTATATGCTCCTAATTTCTTCATTTCCTAAAAAGAGGGAGTCCTTTCACCACCATTCGTCATATCCATTCAAGAATCGCCTTTGATATATGCTGGTCGGTGTTCGTCTACTTCCACTCCATAAACATTAATGTAACGTCCCAGATTTTCAACCCAAAATTTTCATTTTTATTAATTAAAATATATCAAATTACATCCAAGTATAATTCTCTTATACGAAAACATGAATACGAATGCGCGTGTGTACAGTCGAACCTTGTTCTTTCACGAACTAATGGAGTGCCTGAACAATATTTGTAACAAATGGGTAAGCGTTAGGCTTAGTGAGTTCCCCAAGATACCATATACCACAATACATATACATACGTACAAATGGGCCTCGCCCAATTACCTAATGGGCCCCACCCTAACTACTTAATCGGCCCCACCCAACATGCATAACGGGCCCCACCCAAACTACATGGCGGGCCTCGCCCGATATACATAACCATACATTGAGATACATATTAAGTTCTACATATACAGGCACATAGAAGGTATACTATCGTCTCTATTTTACTAACTCATATGTCCTAAAATACATGGATATATATTGTAACATATGATATTGTGAGATAACTCAACTGGACAATTACTCTGACGATTGACATATATTCCTCTTGTATAACAGGTAACGCGTCTAACAAATACTAACAGAGAATACTAAAGCTTATCAGTTTCTATGATGATTTGATAATGAAATTTTGATCTTTCGTTAATCCCAATGAATATTGAGAGTTCTATCAAATAAAGATCAGCCAGGCCGGACAGTTGGGAGACAGGATCATTTCATTGTATAGCCTTTCTAAAATCCAGCAACCAAGCCAACACGACCATTCTAGACACCTCTCCCAAAAGTTGTCGAATCAGCATTATAACTAGAATTACTGATAAATCTTAACTTAAAAGTGTAGCTTTTACAGATCTTAGCAAAAACCGGGTTTTATGGTGGCACAACTTCGATACCGAGCACTTCTGCTCCACCGGCTCTCAAAAGCCTCAGGGTCTTACTATAGAAGAATTCCTCAGACACTCGAAAGTAGATCTAGAGGTCGAAATTAGAGAGAGTTGTATGAGTAACGGGTATGAGAAATGAAAAAGCTTGATCCAGTCTTTATAGGCTGATTCGGGGTGTGAATCGTGCACATGGTCGGGTACATGCCACACACTTAATCGGGAGTGCTGACATGGCGTCGTCTGGGTGGTGACATGTGTCGGCATACCAGTGGAGTGTTAGTGCGAGCCGCGTGCTAGGTCTCTGCGCACCAGCTGCTCGTGAAAGTAACAGTTCTTCAAAATTTCATATATTCTTCATACGAGCTTCGTTTTCGACGTTCTTTGTATTCACACTTAGTTATTGACGAGATCTAAAACTTTCATTTAGACTCGATCAGCTAATTGTCGTTTTATCTCTAAATATATATTTTTATCATGCTTACACTATTAAAGCCCATATAAAAATCATGTCTCTATTTCGGTTTAGATTGTTTTTCCAAACAATCAACTGATCTCTATTTCGGTTTCTGTGTCGTACACTGTTGCACTGAAACTTCTAAAAATCATAACTTTGGTGCTGTTTGTTTTCTCTGAGATAAAATGTCTGCAGTCTGCGGACTAAACCTATAGACCTCTGCAGTAGAAAAGGTGGACCAAACGTCTGCGGTATGAAAAAGAAGATTGTTTGTTTTTTTAACATCTGCGTGCTACTAAAATAAACTAAAATCTAAATAAACTGGGTTTTTTTTAAACTTCAAAGTGATTTTTTAATATTTTTATGAATTTGTTATAAATAATTAACAAACCTAGATTAACTTTTATGTATGATTGTATAAAATGTGAAAATAAAAATGGTACGAATTAATGTATATATTTGATAAAAACCAACAATTTTGGTTGCAAAGTTATACATAAACATTGTCATTAGGAATCAAGAATATTTTAACAAATCTATATCAACTTCGATTTTTTCAATTAAATCAATTAAAAACGAATCATAAATATTTTCCCAAGAAATTGACGATACTGTATTAAATAATGTTTTATAAAATTTGGCACAAAAAATATAAGAATATATTATGATTTTTTTTCATATTTATATAAACAACTTCAACGACC